AGACAGCTGCCCCGCCCCCCGCCTTTCCCCGGGCCTGTAATTACACGGGGCATTTACTTGGCCTTTGTTTCGCGTTCCGCTTTTTTTCAAATTTATTTTCCGCTCCTCGCCGCTGCCCCTGTGTTTGCATATCCCGCCATCCCGTTGAAGGATAAAGGCGCGCGCTTAAATAAGCAATTACCGTGTGCCAGCGACCAGCATCCTGTCAAAGTCCTGCCCAGCGTCCTGCCGAAAAAATATCAAAAAACAAAAAAAAAAAGCAGAAAGGGTTGAGCCACTCGGCCAGGACAAAGCGCCGTAGAAAAGGGTTCAAAAAAGGGGAAGAAAAATCGGGCAAAAAACACACAGTTCGCCCGGCTGTCGGCTCTGATTTAAATCTTTGGCCATGACATGTGGCGACCAGACAAGGTCCACCCTGCAACCCTTTCCTCCATTAAAGTATTTCTGCTGCTTCTACTGCTGGCTGCTAAAAATCTTTTTATTGATTTTTAGCCAGCTTTAAAAACGGACAGACAAGTTCAAGTTCAACGCTGGGTAATTAATTTGCCAGGACCGGGCTAAAAGTAAAGTGCGTGCCTGGCTCATTAGCATAGGGCCGTGGGGAAAAAGGGTCATTGTGCTTTTAATTGGAAAACATTCCGAAGGCGGGGCGCGGCCAGAATGAAAACTCATTAAGATTTCCGCACAACCCTTTTTTCCGCCGGCTTTCCTGACCCAGTTTTCCTCAGCCAGCCAGTCGGCTGACCTTCTTGTCCGTGGATCGTAATTAAGCAATTAGCTGGGCAACACTTTCGCCCTTTTTGCCATTCCATTTGTGAAATTGTTAACTGACCCACGGCAAGGTGAAGTGCTTTGGGCCAGGTGTGTAAAGGTGAAGGCCCCACTCTCTCCCCATCCTTTCAACTCTTTTAACTCTTTTGTATCTGCGGCTCTGCACTTCCTGTCATTCGTTTTGGAAATCGCGACATCGTGATTGCATTTGGCATATGCACATGTGGACTCGATGATGCAGCTGGCCAAAAGGACGGCCAACAACTGGCCATTGGCCAAATGCAGCGGCGGTGGCAGTGGCAGTGGCAGTTGCAATTCCCCCTTCGCGGCATTGACACATTTTTTCGTTTCATTTCTCGTGATGGTGATGTGTGTGTTCCCACGCTTCACTGACCCAACGCAATGTGGATTCTGTTAAATGGTCAAGATCTGCCGGATTTCGGAAACCATATATTTTTCTAGATCACTGCATGCTCATTTTTAACCAGGTTGTGGTTTTTATTTTATAATATTAAAGGAAATAAATTGTAGTTTTGACTATGTTGTTTAGAAAAAGGAATACAATTTGTAAAGCAATATTGTTTACGTATTTTGTATTTATTTCCTGTTAAATCAATAAGGCGAAGCAATGAAAGCATAAATCTGGTAAGTTAGCTAAATACATTTTATTAACATTTAAATATAACTCAATTCTTAAAATAAAGATGAATTTATATTTATTGTTATGTCTTTTAAATGTACTTTTATTTTCTTTATTTATTTTGGATATTTGTATCATATATATAAATAAGATTTTATTGCATTTTAATTAACTTAACGAATTGTATGTAATTTAATTCCATTCTATCTATCTTATTCACAAGATAATCGCTTTATACAATTTGTATTAATTTTAATCTTCCTCATCTTCTTATAAACAATGATTGATTGATTGGTTCCTCGGCAGCAGCTGCATTTGGTCTCTTATTTTTGGCCTCGTGACAAAAGGAGCTTTGATCGATCGGGACATTAGAAGTCCAGTTGATCGCATCTCTGAAACTTGATTTATGGTCGCAGGCTCCGATCCTTTCGATTTCTTGCGAGGGACAGGGCCATAAATTAGATCGCATTTGTGATAGTCGACCAGACTAAAGCCGGAATTTGTTCCTTTCCAGCAGCTTTAAGGACGAAGCGACGGCTAATGAGGCTTTGCAAGGCACAAACGAAACCCGATTCAGGACTTTGAGGGGTTTTTGCTGCACAGTGAAAAATATTCTTTTTTTATGGGATTTAAAATTTGTATTATTATATTATTCAATATCCAGATGGTACACGTTTTGTGTTTGTGTCAAACGAATATTATTTTCACATATATATTGCAAGTCACTTTGCAGTGAATCAAATAGAAGCGTAGGGTTATTTATAAAATAAAGTTATAGTTAAGTTTCTTAGCTTAAGTAACTAAAATGTTTCTTTAATAATTTATTTTATATTTATTTTATCGTCTTTATTTTATAACCAGCGAAATCCTTCACGGGGTATCACAAATATCAATTTAAATGGGTTTGATTACATTTGTTCAGTTTAGTATTTGCTCAAATAATTGGTTAATGAAGAGGAACTAATTTTATTTTTATTTACTGTACTTTTGTTTATTTGTACTATTTTTATCAGTGTAGGGGCCAAGGGCAGGGACCCGCATTGCTGTTTACCGTTGCATTATGCTCGCTGCTTGCCGCTTGCCTGATTTTTTGAGAGCCTCTCCTGCACTGAACCGTTCACCGACGGCGTCCCTGCCAAAGGTCATGGGTGGGGCCCCCAGGGGGTGGTGGGTGGGTGGCGACAAGGGGGGGCGGTGGCTTAGCAACAATTGCGGCACTGCTGAGCCAGGCTTTTGTGCCTTTGGTCGGTTGCCAACCGCAAATATGTTCTCGTTCCCGTTTCCCATTCTTATTCCCATTCCCATTCTCAGTCGGTTGTTTTATTTTCGCATTCTGCATTTGCTGCCATTGCAAAGTCAACTAATTGAATGTGCTAAACTCACCCACACAGGCACAAATATCGCGTTATATGGCGCATTAAGCGCTCATTTCTGGATTTCTTCCCTGACCCTGATGAATCCATCTGCAGGACCCCTCTAGATCCACCGAACCCGCACTACACGGAAAGAAACTACATTTTTTAGGGCCTGCTCAATTATTTTTAATCAATTTAAGGGTGTAATTTTAATAAATTGCAGGCGAATACATTGTTAACTATTTCACCAGTTTTTATTGTTGACTGATGTTTTAAGTCATTATAAAGAATCTCAATACATCTTTTAGAGTGTAATAAGAAATAGAAATTAATGACATATTAATAAGTCACAGCAAGACTTAATATCGTCACTTTAAAAACCTATCGATTTTAATATAGTAAATGTGTTTTATTAATAACAATTAAAGTAACAACTTTTGAATTTTATTATAATTATGTACAGCTCGACTAATACTAACCCATTATGAATGTTAAGTTGATTTTAATATCGTTAAGTCATGAAATAATTTTAATATTATAAAATAAATAAATATAATAAAATATTGAATTTTATTTTAATAATTAACAAACTAAATCTTATATTTTTCTTTTTAGCAATATAAATATTAAAGATATTTACTTTTTTATATTTTAAAAATTATATTTCTGAGCTAGGTGTTTTTTCGGGATATCAAGGATATATTTGTGATTTTGTTCTGTGTATGGGCGGAAGGTCCTCCCTCCAGGACGATGATGTTGATGACGATTCCTCCATTTCCCGCTGCATTTGTATGGGTAATTACAGTGGTGTGTGTGAGTGAGGGACGTCTGCTGGATGTCCTGAATGTCGGTGGTCATGGGGTGGAATTCTGCTCGCAGTTTTTTTCTATATACACAGTTTTTAGCGTTTTTTTCCAGCAGTTCAGCAGTCTGTCTCTTTCGCTCCAACGACAAAACCTCACCCTGCCTACGTTTTTTTTTTCTCATTTTTTCTCATTTGTTTTTTGCGTTTTGCTTGCGTCGGAAACCGCCATTTTTTATGCGCGCTAACTACGCCGCCCTCTCTATCCCTCTCTCCCTCCCTCCCTCGCAACCCCTCTCTGTCGCACTTTGTAAGTGTAAGGGAGACGCACCCTCACAATGGAAATTTGCGCATTAGAAAAAAATGTGGGCTGTGCTCTGTGGTAGTGGTGTGTGTGTGTGTGTGTCTATAGGTTTGTGGCATACAAAATGGTTTTTTAAGATTTTTGTATTATTTTCTTATATTAATTCTGTTTAATAATGGTCAATAGTGGTGTACCAAAACTAAACATAATATATTTACCAGTTACATTAATTGATATCTTGCTTACAGAAATCCAATACAAATTTGCCTTTTTAAACCAAATTGTGGTCACCTCAGACATTTTACTTTCGATTCGAATTAAAATTATATTCAGCATAAAAGATTTTAAAGCTTGTATAAACAATTTACTATACTCGTTAAAAACGATATGGTCATGCAATTAACCATAACTCGTTGATGATGATAAACTATATTGGTGAAGTTAATATTTTTTAATGCATTGCATACAAATATTTTAAAACTGAAAGATAAGCATTCCACCAATCACAAAAAGAAATACGATTCGCAACAGTTTATAATATTTAACAACGGCCAAAAGTCAAATTTTATTTAAAAATGTACTAAAACTCTGATACCATGAAGCACAGCTGTGGTGTGTGTCTTTGCTTTTAGGTCTCTGCCAAGGAAGGGGTCTCGGGTTTTGGTTCTCTGCTAATAACAGAGCTCTGTTTAAAATTAGATTTGGTGCTGCTCTCACATATTTAGTTTATTTATCCTCTAAAACGATTAATTCCAATCCTCTAAAACGATTAATTCCAATTTTTAATTTGTTTGCGTTTTTATTTTCAATTTAAATTTGAATATTATTTAGGCAGTACATGGTTTTTCCTATGTTAGTTTGAAAGCTGTTATAATAAATTGAGGCGCCATCTGTATGTCAAAAAAGTTTACATACTGTTATACATAGCCCTGTAAAAATTCGTGGTACAAATAAACTGCGTTAATATTATTATTAACTTATTATTTCTAAACTATAAATTAAAATTTAAGGAAAAACAAAAATGTTGTATAAACATTTTCAGGAATATCCTCATTTTACAAAAAAATATTTAAGAAGTATATTTTAGTGAAGGTATGGTATTTTTTTGCTGTCAAGCGAAGGGTAACACTTTAAAAGCCACCTGATTGAGCGAAATTCACTCTTCCAAAACTATTTAAAAGATAGTGGGTCCAAAATATAAACAACATTGTTGCGATTTCGTTGGGGGCGTGGCCGCAACAACTCCGCTACAGTGCAACAACAACGCAGCACTCGGAGATCAGCCAAAGAAGAGGAAAAGTGGGAAAAGCCAGGAAAATCGAACGAAATGAAGAGCAACGTTAACCAGGGCGGTTACGCCCCACCCGGCTTTGGATCCGGATATCAGCCAAATGCTCCGCCCGCCGAGGGATTCGGATACCCACCGACGCCCAGTGGCATCCACTCCGTTCCCTATCCTCCGGTTTCGGGTCACCAACAGCAGCCGCCGCCCGTGAATTACGTGAGTTCCAAAAGTGTCACTTTCCCCGCGATTCATATAAGTGGGAGGGAAGTGGGCGATGTGCCATAGGGCGCTCCTTATACACGCACCCCAACAACCATGACGTCATGCCAGTTCGTATTTGCTTATTTTTAAACCATATCCACATAACAGAAGAGATTCATTCGATTTACACGCGATTTCGCGGAATCACCGAACAGATACACATGCAAATATCAACAAATGTTTTTTTTTTGCCCGGGCAAAACAATCGTGCAAACAATGTATTTTAAAACCAGTAATGCAGGATACATAAGCAAGTAACAACTTTAATGCTCTTCGTAAATAAATACGCTTTTTACCTATTATCAAAGTTCAATATTTGTATGCTACTTTACTCGCTAAGCAAATAGGGGGTTTTAAATAAGAAATCCATTTAAATATATATAAATTATTTATCTGCTTTAACAGTCATATCCGTTTGACTCTGAAACTCCGACAATTTTTTATCCGCCTCTCACAGCAAAACTATATATAAACATTACCTAAAATGATAGTAAAATGTTTTAAGAGCAGGCTCAACATTTTTATTTTCTTTAAAAATTTACGTTTTTTATTTTTTGTATTATTATTTATAAACAATTTTTTTTTTTAACAATATGGTTTTTTCTAACACAATTACATATTGAATTATCAACGTAATTTTGTTTTTTCTGAGTACAAGATCGAATTTTTAAAAAATATTTACAAAAGCCCTGGTGAGAATAAATGAAACTGTGCGTATAATGAAATGTGGTCTGCCTTTGTGCTTTATATATCTAAAAACCACTTAGAACTCCCTTGGGAGCAATTTTGTTGATAAGTAGAGCATTTAAAAGTCCACATCACCACAACGCCCCCGATAAATACACAAGTACATTACTCATTTACCACTCAACACTCGATCGTTTCAGGGCTTTTCGCCAGGTCCCCAGCAAGCCGGTTACGCTCCAGTTCCTCAGATGCCGCCGTACGGAGAGACACCGCCTTATGGAGCCGGACAACCACCTTATGTGGGTGGGGGAGGAGGTCAACCACCCTACGTAGGTGGTGGAGGAGGTCAACCACCTTACGTGGGTGGTGGAGGTGGTCAACCGCCCTACGGCGGACCACCTCCGCAGGCTTTCGGAGGATATCCCCCTGGACCGGCAGGACCTGGTCACGCATTCGGAGGATATCCACCGGGACAGCCGCAACAGCCCATTATCACGCAGCCGGGAATGGGTCCAGGAATGGGTCCGGGAATGGGTCCCGGAATGCAACCTGGAGTGGCACCAGGCGGACCAGCAGGCAAGTTATCAAAAACTATATTTAAAACCTAAGTTTTTAGAATTATTCTGGACATATAAAAACAGAATTTTTACTAATCTAAACACGGAAGACAAAAAATATAGTTGTTTTTGATTAGATTAGATTACTTGAAAGTCAAAAAAAGGGAACAATTAATTTTAAAATACATAATTCAGTTCAAAAATTGTTGGCGTCTCAGTTCCATTTTATTAGTTTCCACAAAAACTTAAAAAAAATATTGTTGAAATACCCACAAAGCAAAATAACCTACATTTTAGGCAAAATGATAAAAGCTCATGAATTCTAGGGGGAATAACCTACAAAATAAGTAAAGACATTATAGTAGTACCTTGTACTTTGTTTTTTAGGTCATTATACCTAAACGTATGTTTTTATTTTTTGGATTTAAATTTGTTTTAACATTTTTATTTAGACTTATTAAGACATTTTCTTCAAAATTTTCTTATCTATCAAGGGAAACCTTTTATATTTTCGGCTTCCGCGTTCGAATTTTGTTGCCTTCAAAGATATCCATGATAATCATATCTGGCTTTACTTCTTATATAATCTAGTGACGTTATATTCAGTTTGGTTCATCGAATCAAAACAAAAGCGCATCTCTGTGTGCTCGACGTGTCATTGCCCTGCGCCTGAGATAATGTCCAATCAGTTGTCTTAAGAGTTCCAGGAGTGCAAACACTGAACCCATCATTCCGAATACGTTTTGCTCGCCTAGAACATAGAACCCAAAAGCAAAGTGGGGTGCACACATTTATCTAGGCACTTCGGAGAGTGTTAGAGATTTCGAGGTTTTAGACCGTCTGTTATTATCTGTGTTTTTGTTTACACGTGCCAAAACCCCGTCAGATCTTTGGCGCTTATCGGAAAGCGGAGCGTCTGCCTTAATTGAACCAATAAAATAATACAAAGCGCCATTTAAAACGTCCGTCGTCATGGATGGCGTTGATTTTTCCCCGACGACCAAGAGCTGCGCTCCAGTTAGTTCATCTCTGTGCAGCTGAGCAGGCGGTCGTGTCTCAAAGTCTAGAAAATGTCCACTGAAAATCCACTAAGTGGCGGCTGCAATGGTGTTTCCATGCTGGACCTAAATGCCGAGAATCGGGGCAACTCGGAGGAGTCCCACGGCAGAGGTGTCAAGAGCGGCTCGAAAGTGTTGCGTTTCATCTGGCACTCGCTATACAGCCAGTACAATCAGCTCTGCTCGAGGTCACAGACTCTGAGGCAACTGGTCTGCCGAGAGGCCAACAAACCGCTGCCCAAGAAATTACGACATTCCATGAGGCTGAACAAGTCGGCCAAGCGAAAGGGCTACGAGTTCTACATCAGCGACGAGGACAAGAGGTGAGGAGGTCTCGTCTAGGAACTATATAGATATAGAGACAGGATCCTATTTTAAACAAGGGATTTAAGTAGTGACATATTAAAAAAAATGGTGACGGTAGGAGGTTAGAATGAAGTCTTGGTTAGGAACTTAATTGATCTAGTGACAACTTCCTGCTTTTAACCAATTCCATTAAAAATCAGGACAAGAGAAAAGAATGTTTCTGTATTAGCTTATAATGTTGAATGGCCAGAAATTTTTTATATCTATTTCTCCACGTTCTCTGCGATATTCTTTCAATTTGATACAGCATTTTATAATTAGCTAAAAGAACCGTAAAATTACCCTAACGAATGTAATCATGTTAATGAATCAAAGTATAAAGTAATTTGTTTAGAAATTGTATCAAAAATATAAAGGGATCTCGTTAAAATTCAGACAATAGGTGTTTCAAGAGCTATTCAAATAAAATTACGTCATTATTGAATTTCATAGGAAAAACAAAATAATACAGTCAAATCATTATTATTGCAGAGCCAGTAAACTTTTTTTATTGTTAAAGACTCAGATAAACAATATCCACTGTAGTTAGGTGCGAAAAATTTAAGTCCAATCTGTTGTTATCTAAAAATATCCCAATTATGGAAATCATTTCAAGGTTGCCTTACGTTGTGAAATTAAAGATTTATTGGGATCTTTACAGCCGGCAATAAAGTCCATCTTAATCGCTTAGATTAGATACAAGAACCGAGATGCATTAGCTAGCATAATAGCTTGTGGCTGGGGGGTTGTCTATGGGATATTCAGGAGGGGTGTGCTCCACTGTAATGCCCCCAATTAGAGCGACCGAGCAATTGTGCCGGCGACATTGACCAATTGACACACTGCCCACTAAACGAGCAGAAAAAGATGCCCTTTTGTGCGGACTAATTGAATTTATCCATCAAGATTACACGAAGACTAATAGAAAAGAACATCACATTCTTGTGAAGTTTTCTTATCTAAAATATACTTTAAAATTATTGTTAAATTGTTATGATAGCTAATAACTTTTATTTTTGCAGGAGACTGGATGAGTATACCCAGCGGAATTCCGAACTGTCCGCGCGGATTGGAGTACCTTACGACTATCGACCAGCTTTTAGTTAAGCAGAAGGTCGAGCTGCTCGAGGCCTTCACCGGTTTCGAGACCAACAACAAGTTCTCGATCAAGAACGCTCTGGGCCAGAAGGTCTATTTCGCGGCGGAGGATAACGATTGCTGTACGCGCAACATTTGCGGTCCTTCGCGTCCTTTCGACATGCGGATCTTCGACAACTTCCAGCAGGAAGTGATCCACATGCACCGGCCGCTGGCCTGCTCCTCCTGTCTGTTCCCCTGCTGCCTGCAGAGCATCGAGGTCTCGGCACCGCCCGGCAACGTCATCGGCTCCATCGAGCAGGAGTGGTCCATCTGCTCGCCCTCGTTCCGGATCCTCAATCACCTCGGCGACACGGTGATGCGCATCGAAGGACCCTTCTGCACCTTTTCGCTCTGCGGCGACGTTGAGTTCAATGTATGTCTTGCATTTGTTATATATTTATTACACTCTTTTAATAATATCTTTTGTTATCCAGGTTGTGTCGCTTACTGGCGAGAAGGTCGGCAAGATCTCGAAGCAATGGTCTGGACTGGCGCGAGAGATTTTCACGGATGCGGACTTCTTCGGCATAAGTTTCCCAATGGACCTGGATGTGCGCATGAAGGCCGTTTTGCTGGGTGCCACATTCCTCATTGTAAGTGCTTCCCTTCGCTTAGATTTATCTAGTAACCCAACGTTGGCCCCTGCCAATCAGTTGTATAGCGTTCATTTCTATCGATTCAAGCTGTTGAGGCGTCTGCAGCGCAGATTTCGTTGGTGCTGAGGTAACATATTATCCCCCAGCCCATCAAATCCTCCAGCTTAGTTTGAGTAGGCTAGCCATGCTATAGTTCCTACATCTGTTAAATTAAATCCGACTAATTAAGTGCTTTCCTTTTGATCCACAGGATGCCATGTTCTTTGAGAAGTCCGGCAACAGGGAGACCGATAGACCCGGAATGCTCTAGGAATCTTGTGGTGGCTTGTTCTGCGAATGTTTATGCGAGGTGGCTGGCCTTCTTTGCGAAGCCGGGTGCTGTACGGAGGACTAAATGTTGTGCCTTTTTTTTGATTTGCCGCTTTATCCAAATATCTTCCCTGTGAACTGTCGCGAACTAGTCTTCTGTACCAAATGCTTATTGAACCCTTTGTTATTTTTGATAATCAAACCTATTCAACTCAGGCTTCCTTTATAGGACATCGCCAGTATATTGTTAAGTTATTAAGCATTTTTGCTATTTCGCCTCATCAACGAATTGTATTCAACGACAAATCTGATTCACTCATGAATTTACAACGATGCACACTGAAGCAAAAACTAACTAACGGATTGCTCGTTATTAAACCATGTACTTTAAACTGTATTTTCTTATATATAGAAACATATATATACCAGTGTTTATTGTTAAGCTGTCAGGAAATTTATAATAGACGAAATCTATGTTTTCTTTTTATGTATAATGGTCAAATAAATCTTGAAAATTATATTATCGTGTCCGATATTAGTTTAAATGTCGCATATTCATGCAGACTCTGGTTTGTGATTTTATTTTAAACAACTGTTTGGTTCTGATTATACTTTATTTTAAAAATATATGAAAAAGTTAAAAAAAAAAGGTTAACAGTTAGTTTCACAATGCTCTGTACCAAGTCACAAAATATTTAATTCATTTATGACAACATTTAAGATTTATGTTCTATTTTTTTTTTCAATAACGAAATGAAAAAGAGAGTCCAGAATTAGCACTTGACAGCTATAGAAGTGATAAAATATAACTGGATATAATTCCTCTGAGTTTACAGCTAAATTTTTGGCTTAGAAGACTTTGACTCGTTCGTACATCAACTGAGGCAAACTCAGACAAAAGATTTTTTATCAGGGTTATTAACTAAGGTTTTTCAGGTATTGTAAATGGGCTTTGGAGCTTTTGTACTGTACATTCTGACGAATTTTTGTAAATATTTTTTTTGAATATTGTTATAATAGTGTGATTATCTCTGGAAACTTATTAAATTACTACTGGGCTGGGAAAAGATGTTCTTTCGATTGGACTGAGACCATCACTAACTCATCAGCTGATCTCGTTAAATTCGACTTGAAACCGGCTCCTCAAGAGAACTGAAACGAGTTTATTCTGATTAAAAATAAACACAAGTTAAGGCAATGCACTTGGCGCAAGTTGATGCTCAGTTCAGTTGCAAAAATGCAGGCTTTGCGAGTTCTGATCGGTCTGCTTGTATGCGGAGTGTTCGGAAAGGATCTGCAGGAGTGCGAGGATCTGGGAAAGGGTAGTCACCTTTGTCGGGAAATAGAAAGCTTCGAGCAACTAAATCGATATATCGGGGAAAACTGGCAAAGCGTTAAGGTTGTAAATGAGCACACGGGCATCGAAAATGCGGAGGATGGGAAGTTGCCAGGCCTGTCCAAACTTTTACACTTGGATTTATCTGAATCCGGTGGAGTGACTCTGGGCGACAGAGGATTACAGGACTTTGAGGCTCTCCAAGATCTGAATCTTACCCATTGTCAGTTAGAAGAGCTGCAGGCGCAGAACTTTCCCAACAACTCGCAATTGATCAGTCTGGATGTGAGCTATAATGACATACAGATTATCACTGGCAAACTGATGAGTGGATTGGCCAACTTGGAGTACGCCAACTTTTCCAACAATTTAATTGCCGAGATAGAGCCCGATGCCTTTAAGGATCTGAAGAAACTGAGATTCCTGGATCTAACCACCAATGAACAGGAGAATGTGACTCTGGGCGAGAATGCCAACCTGCGATACCTGTCTATAAGTAACAACAATGTGAGGGATGTAAGTAATCCATATGCCACTATATGAAACATGATATAACCTTATATAATCCCTCAGTTCCAATGGTGTCGCCTGCGAGGATTACCCAAGTTGGAGGAACTGCACTTGCACAGCAATTGGCTGGAGAACCTGGAAATGGGTATATTTTATGCCTTGCCGAAATTGAGAGTCTTAAATGTTTCCAACAATAATCTTTACGAGATCAAGCGAACTCTTTTTTTGGGTCCAGGCGAAGAAGCACCTCTGGATCTGCTTGATTATAGTTCAAATAATGTAAAAGTTCTAGAGGATTTGGTATTCTGCAAACTCAACAAGCTGAGAACCCTAAATCTATGGCTCAATCAGATCAACAGGATCCATCCGAGGGCTTTTATTGGCCTGAGTTCCTTGGAATCCCTTCAACTGCAGGGCAACAAAATCTCGATTCTTCCCGAGCAAGTGTTCGCCAATCTCACGGCCTTGAAAAAATTGGATTTAAGTAGGAATAATATCAAAAAGCTGGGTATTAGTGTGTTTGGGAACACTATTCTCCGTAATCTGACATACTTGGATTTGAGCAACAACTATATTGCGGAGCTGCATCCTTTGTCGCTTTCTTCACTGCCTTTTATCAAGGAACTTAGATTGAGGAGAAATAAATTAGTCAGCCTGGATCTTCGCATGTTTGCACCCCTGAGACGATTACAGTTGCTGACGATTGGTGAAAATCGGCTGGAGGAGATTGAGGCGGAGATTCTAAATACCTTTAAAGGCCTCACCCACCTGGAAATAAACAACAATCGTCTTACTTATTTGCCGGACTTAAAGTCATCGGAAGGTCTTCAGAAATTGGGACACATCAGTCTGGAGGGAAATCCGTGGCAGTGTTTGTGTCTGGACGAGATCACCACATGGTTGCATGGACATCAGGTGGGCTACGCCCGACCAAGCAGTGCCTATTTCAGTGGAAGGAAGCCCCTCTGCGTGGTGACGAACATGGAAAAGTGCCTGCGGGTCCTCGATGACGTGAGGGCACAAGGAATCGTCGACAGCTACGAGAAAATATAGACTTCATATATACATATCACCTTATTACATATTTTATTCTGAAGCCACCTTGGTTTCTGTTTTTAGAAAGTTTCCTAAGAGGACACTTTTAAAAAAACAAAATTAATATCAAATTTAATTCTGAATGAAATATAATTTAGATTCGATATTTTTAAAAAACTTGTCTTAATAACAATTAGCTTATGCTTTTTTTAATGTCTCCTGACATTTTCATTTATAAACGTCACAAATATAATATTGCCCTCAAGGTGTACAAAAAGACATGTTTGAAAAAAACAAACAAAACAATCTTTTAAAAATTAAAGTCTTAAATAATGGTTATTTTAGGATCGTGCTTACAAGTTGAGTCGATATTTTTTTAAACCTATTTTAAAAGTTGTGAAATATATATTTTACATTCTTACTTAAATCGAATTTTCCCATATAAAAATAACAGTACATAGTTTGGAACCCACTTGTCTCGCCAGTTGAGGAGCAATAAATCAATATCCATTAATGCTGGTCTCCAGTTTCTGTTGTGGGTTCCGCTTCGCTCCGTTGACTGACTGGACGTCCGCCGCAGGATCCTTGGAGAAGAAGCCTCCGTAAATCACAGACAATTGGATGACCATGAGGGCAAAACTTTCAGCTAGCCAAAGTATTTGGCCAACTGTCGTAAAACAATAAAACGGAAGGCATGCGAGCGGGAATGGGGGTGACTGGGGCGGAAAACCGAAGCAGAGATTTTCAAATACTTAACACCACTTAAGCGAACAGTTGGACAATGACAATGACTGAGGATTGGGAATTCCAATAGGGGAAGGTGGGGACTTGATTGTTGAGCGTAATTTAGCGTAAGAATTTTTATTAAAATTTTCAATTTGTTTGCAGATAAACTTTTTAGCAGCCGCAATGAGTTGACTGATTGATTGATGGATGGATATTAGAAATAGTAGAAGTTTGGCGCAGTTCTCAATCAGGAAATGGGAATGATGGGCGAGTTATGAATGGGTAAGTTTCCCATCTGAGAACGCTTAGCTTTTCCCATTAAAACGGAACAAGTTTCCTTAGACTTCGGTTGCCCCCCACTTGGCACATGAATGCAAATTAAACTATATGAATGGGTGGCAGGGTCAGAGCAAGTCGGGCACAAGTATTCCAGGTATTCGCACAAAAGGACAATGGACCCGGGAAGTTGGCAACCAGGACATGTGCAGTCAATGCGCAATTACAGGCATAAAGGGCCGAACACGGCACATCCTTGCTCAACAGCTGCCATAAAAGTTTTACTCCGAGGAGGCCTTAAAGCGACTCGAATACTCCGAGACCACTAATTAAATTAAATTTTCGGTTTCGCATTCGCCCGATAAATTAAGTGTTCTGCCAAAAGGTGAAAGGTGAAAGGTTGCCTTGCGATTCCTGCGGACAGAGTCCGTTCAATTAATTTGGCAAGAAACTTTGGTCGGTCGTGCCGTTGTTTGCTCAATTTGATAACCGAAATGGCCGGAGTTCCGTTCTACTCTACGCCAGGACATGACAAACCTGTTGCTCCTCCCCGGGGAAATCCCCACCGAACCCACTGAACCCTCGTCAACCTGAAATGAAGCTCCGCCGAGGTGTCAAAGACATGCCGGCCATCAATTTCCCACAGATCGCAACCCCTGTCGGCTGCGTAATATTCTCTAAAATAAATTCAAATTCAAACTCAAATTCTAATTTTGTGCACATCCGCCCGTCAGCTGGTTTTCCCATTTCCAATTTCTAATTTTTTACTGTCGGTTTTCGGAGTGCACTCGCATTCACATTTTGTTTGGTTAATTACGTTCACGGCTAATTGCATTTCTGTGGCTTAAATGGCCACAAAATTTGTTAACAAAATATTTGCTAAAACATTTTTGCACAATTAGCCCCAGTCAGTGTGTGTTTTATTCCGCCTGTCCGTGTGCATATTCATTATGCGCATTATTGCCCCGCAAACCATCGGAACTGGACGGGACTTCAAATTACACAATATATGCTATGTTTTTGCGGTCGCCTGCACTTTCAATTATCATCATCGGAATCCGGGACGTAGAGCCAGTGCTTCTCCTGCTTGGGCAAAGGAGCAGCCCAGGCGAACTTGAAGGATCGCCGCATCTTTATGCTGGATCTCCTGGTCTTGGGCAGATTGTTGTTCTGCTGGACAATCAGCGAAAGCTCCGAGACCGATGGCAGTAGTTTGGTGTTATCGTATTCCGGATTTAGGGCGTCGTCCAGGTTCTGGGTGAACTTCATCAGGTGGTCGTAGCACTTGAGGAGCAGCTTCCGCGCTCTACTCAACGCGCTGGACAGTTCGATGTGATCTTGCCTGTAGCAAATAATGGGAACCTTTGAAAAAAATTGTTGAAAATTAAAAAAAAACATTACACACGAAATAAGCATCCAAATGGTTTAGTTCCTAGAAACATATTTTATTTACAAACCAGTTTTAGCAATATTTGGTTTAATTAATTAAGTTTAAACTTATGCAGCATGGCTATACAAATTTGAAAAATATTTTTTTTCGATCTAAAACTGCAAGTAAGAGTTTTGAAAGGACGAACAAAAATAGGTATTTGAGACTTTGTCAGTCTTATAAATTAAATTCACAGAAGTCCCTTATGGTCCCTGATAGATTTTTTATCAGCTAGAACTATAAATTCAAAAAAATATGTGAATGAAGTTTATATGACCGATAAAGTCTCTTTTATCTATTGACTATGTAAAGTATACCAATAAAACTAGTATTTAAACCCAAAAATATCAAAATAGTATCAGTATATATTAATAAACTAGTATTGGAATCCAAAAACATGAAAAGAGGTATCAATATATTATTTCCTATTATTTCCTATCTATTTTTAAAAGGTGTTCAACAATTTAAAAACCAACCTTGGAGGCAAAACTGACTTTTAAGTTGGTTTGAGTGGGTCGCACGTAATTGTCGCTGTACTCGAGATAGTTGCCCCTGGAAATGTCCAGGTCGTGGTATCGCTCCAGGCACAATCCAGTGTTGTGCTTTAGCTCCTCCTGCCATTTGGGCACCTCGAGCAGCTTCTTCGACAATTTCCTGGTGCATTGAATGTTTCGCTGGACCTTTTTGTCCAGTCTGGTTAGAAATACTTTGGACTCCTTGAGTCGCCGACTCACTTCGGCGATCTGTTCGTAGGCCTTAGCAGTTTCCTGCTGAATAGACCTTAATTTAACATTATTCGAGCCGGTCTTCTCGATATCCAGCTGCATGTGGTCGAAGTCTGGGGCACAATCGGTTTTATTCGACTGCAATGGGCGAATTAGTAGACCTCGCAAATGCAGCACCCGCTGCTTCATCTTCTCCAGTTTCTCGAAGGCCTTCGGCAGTTCTAATTCGGAGGAAGTGCCCTCGTATTGCACCGGGATGTCATCCAACGCGGAGATGCTGCAGTGGGTCACCTCCGAGCCACTTACACTTTCTGGCAATCCGGGAGCCTTGCAGTCCATGGTTTCTTATAGTTTTTGCAGCTGGCTGAGTTAATGTTCTGTGTAATATGTGTAAAAATGTAGTATAGTTGATGGGAACGATAAAGAAATAGTCTACTTTGATAGAAAAACTTTATGTGTGTAACATTTTCGATCTTAAAACTAAGTAAACAAAAAGTTTTTGAAAAAAAGTAAAAATATCGACATGCAAGTATTTAATATTTAATTATGTATATAAACTTCGACTTGCTGAAGTTTGTTTCCTTTCTTGTTTAGTCTCTTAATCAAATATATACAAAAATATAATGTAATTGAAGTTGACAAGAGAGGTTTTTTAACGTCCCCTCAAAAATGTTACTCCATTTTTTTAATCGCCAGAAGCAAGAACAAATATCTTATGACAGAGATGTTAAGATCTTTGTTTCCAATTTTGTCATTTTCGCCTTTGGCGTTTTAATGAAAATACCTGTTCAGAGTGCCACAAAGTATGCAGCTGCAACAATGTGGCATGCACCGGAGATTCTGCTCGTCAGAGGGCACACACCTCAAATTTGGATCAAAGGGTAGGAAATTCCCCACTGCTAATGATTTTTAATAGCCAAATTGCAAGAGCAAGACCAGGTCGCAGCTGCCTTCGTCCTGGAAATGCCTCTTAAAAGCGTATTTGTGGTTGTGCTCCTGGCCGCCACACACATACACACACACACACACATACTCTCGATGCGGTCAATAAAGTATGCAAAGTGGTGGCAGTTCATTGGTGGGTGGAGAAGGTGGATCATGGTGACCATGCTGACCTTAAAAACAAATTAGTGGCGCTTACTCAACAAGATTGAGTGGCTCGTGTTTCGCTGTCATCGGCATCGTCATCGCTGCTATCCTGCTTTTCGAACAGAGACGTGATTGAAAGGGGTCTGATTTAATATAATAGTAAACCTTTGTAGAGATGTCCAAATAGGTTTCAAAGGTTTGTAATACATTTGATATTAATTTGGTGGAATTTTAATTACTTTGTATTGCTTAATTTATAACACTTAATATGTTAACAGAAAACTATAAAATAATATATAATTATATAAATATAAGTCAATATCTAAAACGCATATGACTATGTTATATGCCAAATAACAAATTTAATAATATTTCTGTTATTCGGCTGACATTATAATATAGATCCCTATATTTCTTTAAAGCTTTAGCTGGTAATGCTGATATCTCTACATAGTTTTCGATCCCCTTATTAAATATTTTCCCCACCACTGTCCATTGACCACGCACTCTGCTCGTCCAGCAAACGCAGAAAAAGGAGGAAAAAATCTGAACTTAATTAATGAAAGAGCCTGAGGGCGTTGCTCCTTGATCCTGTGTCCTGAGTCCTGAGTCCTACTCCGCAGCCAGAATGCATCTATTTATGGGTCCCAGATATTTAGTGATGAATATTCATGCAGACTTGGGGGCAGATGAACGACTACGACCACTCCGATGACGCTGCAAATCAACAGACGAGCATAATTTTTGTTAATAAAAGCGTGTAATAATTTGCTGCCAGCCAAAAACACGTTGAAAGGAGAAGGGGCATGGGGGAGAAGTGCCCAGCATGTGTTGCAAATGAAATTATGTAAATGTGACAGCAACAGCGGCAACAACAGAGATGTATCTGCAACTGAATTTTGTATCTTTTTGGGCAGTCGGCAGCGGTTGACCCGCGAATACAATGGAACTGAGGGGGGATTTTCAGGGGGGGGAGTGCGGTCTGCATTCCCTGCCAAAACATGGCTTAATGTTGATTAGATGCATTAAACATGCAAAAGCCCCAACCAGCAGCAGCCGATGTTCTTGTTGTTATTTTGGGGCAAAACAATAAACGGAAGCATAAAATAGATATGTGCATTGCGTATTTGCTGGTTTTTCGTGGGGGGGAAATGAAATTAGTGCAACCTTTTAACTTTTGCGCGGCAATTGAATAACTTTAATTGGTAATAAAGCTGAGCCCACATGGAGCCGGAAATTGCGAAATTGCAGCTGGCAAAGCCAATTGCCAATCGCCAATCGGCAATCACCAGGGCCAAATCAAAAGGGGCAACTATCCGCATTTTCCCGACTTTCCCCCCCTTTTGCCCGCAAGCTGTTTACGATCCTGCCAACTTTAATAGTAAATAACAACAATAACAAGCGCCGCAGGAGCAGCTGCGCAAAACTTCAGAACAATACAAAATCAAAAAAAAAAAAGAAAAATAAAATACAGGGAAAAGCAGCAGCAGCAGCAGGAGAAAAACCAGAGAAAAGAAAAGTTGGAAAACACTTTACTTTGATGGCCGTCCAAGTCTTTTGCTCTCGACGTTGTCGCCATGGTTGCCATTCAAATGGCTCGCTTAATTTTACCCTCACCGCGGGGATTGTGGCAACTTTTTAATGACTCCTGGACATCCATATTGTCCGCCCAGGTTGTCATCTCATCTTCAAAAGGGGGAATGTGTCGCTTCGCCGGACTTCGGGTTCAGTGTGAAAGGATCCACTTCTCGGGTACTCCTTGTTGCGGAATTTCAAGAGGTGCTATTTATCTTTACCTTTAAAAGTCACAAGTTTGGATTCCAGGAAATTACAAGAAATGAGTCAGAAGCAGCAAAGAAGTTTGAGGTATTTATTTAAACCGACATTTTGTAAATTCAATTGGAGATCTTTAATTTTGAGCAATTTATAGTTGGTGGTACAGAGTCAAAACATTTTGAAAATGCCTATAAAGGTGTCTAGAAATATGCAGTCATAAAATGTATCGTTGTCTCTCGCAATAAATCAATAGAATTTCTAGGATTCAAAATATATTTTTTCATACCTAAAAGTACCTTTCGACACTACAGGAATTTTTAAAAATTGTTTAGCTTAATAAATACCCTCAAATATAATTCATACCTTTTTTTCCACCTTTTACCAATATTATTTTTCATAACCCCCTTTTTTTAATTTAAAGGGCATTAAAGAGTCTGTGATAAGACCCAGGATTGCATCCAGTTTACAGCCGATGGCTAGGCCAAATCATTATTGATTTCCCGACTGGGTGCCCCAATCGCGTTCGACGGCGGACTTATCTGGAAAAGGGTGAGCTGCGAGTGCCACTTGGGGCGCTTTGACAAAAACTTTCTTTTGTACATATTATTTATGCCCGGCTCCCGAGGGCTCAAGCAGTGATGGCAAAGGGGGGGTGGAAGCAGAGGGGGGTCAGAGGTCCCCTCAATACAAGTTGCTCCTGTCACGGTTGTTATTGCTCTTTTATTTGTATTGGCTTTGGGCCTGCTTGCTACATTTTTTAATTTATGTAGCAGCTGTTGCTCCGGCGAAAATGTCAAATGCATTGGTTTTGTATTTCCCTTTTTTTTTTTTTAAAGGGGGAGAAAGTCAAAGCGAGGGACTCATAATGTGTTAAGTTTTCGCCCGACGAGTGAGTGGCTCGTGCTCGAGTTGTTGGCAAACAGTTTGGCTCCTTGGCCAAAACGCCGCTCCACTTCTCCCAACTTCGAGCTTCAAGTGGCACAGAAAGTTTGGGCCAAAAGAGGCCAGCAAACTAATTATTTAGTTTCGCTTCGTTCCTTTTCGCAGCAGCGGCAAATGCCAAACGTCAGCCAAATATCAATAAAAACTCCAATCGAGATCTATTTCAATTAACTTGTTAAAAAACTTTTTAATTAACGGCACTGCAGAGTGGTTTGCTCCTGTTCGCCAGAATTTATGGCTTCGCCTAATTGGGCAACAATAAAGCGGGTGAAAAGGACGAAAGCAAAGAAAGCTCTATAAAAATGGAAGAGGAGTCCTGTGATATGTAAATGTTTATAAATCAAGTTGCGACTGTTGTCGGTGACAAGTGGTGGTCGGCCGACTGGTCGTACACTTCAAATAAATAAATAAACAAACAAACGAACCGGCGACCTGTGTCCTGGTTAGTTCAACATTCCAATTCCCCCGTTTTATTCGTATTTGTTTGGCATAGTTCCACTTTCACTTCTACCCTAATCAAAAATAGACTGGGGGTTATTTTTTCAAGCTGACACCTTGTGATTTAAAAGCCGCAACATATGAATGGGGAGCCTAGGTCTTGGGTGATTTATACGGGCCAAGTTGATTTACCGCCACAAAGGCTATTAGGAGGGCCAACAAGGAGTCGAGGATCCCACTCCTCGAGTGGCCACTCGATTTGCTGCTGTCGACAATTACATTGTCTAGACCAAGGCGACTGTCAAAACTCGATGCTCCTGCAGGACTTCGAGGACCTGGAGGCCAAGTCATTGCCTTCAAGTCGATTATAGAAATGACAGAAGCAGCATGGCAATACAAAGCTAAGTAAATTCGGGTTTTTTAGCCGCTTGATAAATTGTGCGACCAGCTTGCTGGAGCTATTAATAAGATAAATGAGCGGCAATAAGTGGCGCTGGCACTTCGATTTCATTCCCGGCTGACTTTCCGACTTCCGCTGAAACAACGCGGCGTATGCGTAATTACCATTTCATATGCATTAAGAGGAGCTTCAATCACATGCCAATCGTTTAAAAAGGAAATAAGGTGCACTGTGGAAAAATAGCATAAATATTTCTATGATGAATTTGTATACCTTATTTTTAATTTAAAAAAAAAAATAATAATAAAATTCCTTAGTTTCCTATTTTAACGGTTGTTCAAAAAATCAATTAAAAATAAGATAATTTGAAGATAAAATTACATATTCTAAGCACTGTTATAGTTTTTCTTCTTAAAATTATCTATATATAACAAAGTAAATTTGTAAATATTTATTGTGGCTATGCCAGTTTGCTTTTAAATATTTATAAAGGGATAATTGTTATAATTTATGGTGAACGCATCATGACTAAATTACCGTTTCACCATAAGTATATAAATCTTTAGTTTTTTTTGTTATTGTTATATAGGCATTCATTTTTCCTCAGTGACCATAAAAGAGGAGTAGTGGTAGGGGACAAAAAGGAGCGGAAAAGATAGTCAGAAAGCGGGAATAAGCGAACTGGAGTAGGGGCAGTAGTCCCGATGTCATTAAGCGCATTTGAAAAATCATCAACAATACAAATGCGATGCGTTGACAATG